ATCCCCTCGTCCTTCACTGTAGCCCTTCTAGCAAGTGCGAAGTGTTATCTTCCTATGATGCTGAATTTCTTGCATGCGCTTATTGGTCATTTGTCTCCTTTTGAAAACTGCTCAGATTCTTTCCCATCTTTTAGATTGAATTATTTACTTTTTATTGCGTTGTAACAATATTATATATTCTACATACATATCCATTATTATGTTATTTAAATTTTTTTCTCCCATTATATTGATCGTATTTTCACTTTCCTTATGGTATCTTAAACAATTTGTTTTTTATTTTGTTGATATTAAGTTTCCCTGTTGAAATTTGGTTGTCAGTGGAACCCTTAAGAAGTAAGACCTGGTAGATGGTGGTAACATCGTTGGGCCACTGGCTTCAGAAAGTGCTAATGCTGAATTTGACCCCAAAGTCTCTGTTTTGGGACTCATCATTTATCTCTTGTGTTCATGCCACACTCCTATGACACGATTTCATATTAGACCCATACCAGAGCAGAACAGAAGCTTGTGAGCTAAATATCTGTTTTGTTTTACATCCTTAGCACTTTTATTAAGCAAATCCCTACTTACAAGACTTAAGTGGGAAGCCAAGAGTTAAGTTTTTCAGATACTGATGTCAGGGGGATCATATATGATATTAAAACAAAATTCAGTAACATTATGATAATATAATTCAATGTAGCCAGAACCTTGGAGAGTGAAGACTACAGCCATTCCTGTTGAAATATGTTGGAAAATCAAATTAATTCCTTGACTTGCCATATTATAAAGTTAAAACATTGGTATTTGATTTATACTCTTCTAATTCAGGATTTCAAAGTTATTTTCATATCTTAAGTAGAGGATCTTTTCCTCCTTACTCAATCATAAACATATTTTCTAAAATTTACAAGAATATCTGCAAAAGAAACATTACAAAACAGATATGCTCCCCAAGTTTATTTTAGTTTAGACTTGGAAGTATCTTTACTGGTTGTGGAATGATGTAAAATATTTATATGAATTATTTAGATGAATCTAGTTTAAGATATCTGTCACTCACAAGCTTTCATAAAATGAAATACTTTACTAAATCCTGTCTATTTCTGGAGAGAAAACAACCAGCTGGATTATTTTTACTAACCCCTCAGGGCATGTGGTGACAATCACTTTAGTATATTGGATTCTCCTACAACCTAGACATTGTGTTAGCTACTTTCATATGTCCTCTTTTTCCATTCTCCCAGGACTCAAAGAGGCACTTGTGATTTTTACCCAGTTTGTAGGAGGAAACAATAAGGTTTTAGTTATTTGCCACAGATCTCTCTTTTTTTTTTTTAAGGAATTATTCAACTTGAAGTGTTTTGATATAGCAATAGAAAAGCACTAATATAATAATATTTTATAATTTATAATCAGTAAATATGTAGTGATATCAACTCTCACTGCTGATACTGATGTTTAAATGATTTTTTTCAAGGGTGATTCTAGCTAGAGGCTGGTCAATTTTATTGCTATTTGCAAACAACCATCTCTTAGTTTCATAGATTTTTTTCTCTGCTTTTCTTGTTTTCTACTTCAGTTATTTCCTATGTATATTCCCTTCCTTATTCTTACATCACTTTTAATTTCTTCTTATATCTCTATTTGCTTAAAGAAATATGACATTAATTTGAGACCTGTGTTTTTTAATGTGTTTAGTATTAGGAATAATTCTAAATATCACTTTAGTGGCATACCACAAATCTTGGTATGCTGTGTCTTCGTTTTCGAAGTACTTCTGATTTCCCTTTCTACTCATGATTGTGTTTTATTTCATTCCTAAGCTTTGATTTGCCAAGTATCTCTGTTACTCCTTCCTAATTTAAATTCTGTTATGATCAGAGAACATATATCATGTGGCTTAAATTTCTTTTTACATTTGTGGATTCTTATTTTGTGATAATTGAGAATATTAATTCCTGATAAATATATAATATGTTTCTCAAAGGATTGCATTTCCTGATGTTGCAGTAAATATGTTTTCAGCAAATATAGTCAGAGCAAACTGCTTTATTATGTTGTTCAAGTCTTCTTGAACACTTGCTAAACCAAGTGTTTTCAGTCTATAAATTATTGAGATACATTATTTTTTACCATACCTGTGAAATTTGTTCACTTTCTCCCATTCTGTGTTTAATGTAATTTCTTTCTGTGTTACTAGATATACGTTTATAGTTTTGTGTTCTTTGAAAGAGCTGATTCCTTTTAATTATAAAGTTACTCTATTCTAGTAATATTCTGTGTTCTAAAGATTATGTCGCCTTTTGTTACTATGACTTCTCTACCTTCTGTTTATATGCCTGGGTCTGGGATATTGCTTTTTTATATACAGTAGTTTTATTGAGATATATAGAATTGTATAATGTGTGGGTCTTTGTCACTGGCTTCTTTCATTTTGCATGATTTCAAGATTTATGAGGTTATCAGCTGAATATATCATTCTTTATGGACAAATAGTGTTTCATTGCATTTTATGAATCAGTTCAGTACTTTTGCATGGTTTCCATCTCTGACTCTTGCAAATAATGCTACTGTGAAAATTCATCCATACAACTTTTGACTTAAACATACGTTTTCATTCTGGGCGTGGGGGCTATACATAGAAATAGAATTCTGAGTCCAGTGGCATTGTGATTTTTAGCCTTTTGAATAGTTTTCAGGATATTTTCTAAGCATTTGTGTCATCTTACATTTCTACCACCCATGTTTGAGGGCTCCAGTTTCTCCATGTTCTCTCCAATACTAGTTATTATCTCTCTTTATATCATAGTCATATTATGGGAAAATGTAAGTAATTATGAAATAATGTCTCATTGTTATTTTGATTTGTACTTCTCTGATGGCTAATGCTGTTGAATATATATTCATATATACGTTGGCCATTTGTGTATCGTAGGTGCAGAAATGTCTATTCAGATCTTCAATCCATTTTAAAATTTGAGGGGTTTTTAAAATAAGCAGACTTTGTCAATTAAGCATTTCAAATAAAAATAAGAAAAGTATGTCTATTCAAAAATTTGAAGTGTAGGTCATCTTTATATCTCATTTTATTTAGCTAGTGGTAACCATAAGCAGTAAATTTAATTAATGGGCCCGGCAGGACCACCTAGTGGTTGGAGTCGCCTTGTATGCATCAGGATCCTATGTGGGCAGTGTTTCTTGTTTCAGCTGCCCTGCTTCACATCCAGCTACCTTCAAGTGGCCTGGGAGGGCAGTCAAAGATGGCCCAACCCTGCACACACTTGGGAGACCCAGAAGAAACTCTTGGCTCCTGGCTTGGGATATGCTCAATACCACCCTTTGTGGCTGCTTTGGGGAGTGGACCAGCAGATGGAAGCACTTTCTGTCTCTCCTCTCTATGGATCTGCCTTTCCAATTAAAAAAAAATTTTTTTAATTTTTAAAAAATCTTATATCATTTCAGTGATTACTTATTTGAAGGCAGTTACAGAGAGGGGAAAGAGAAAGGCCAAATAGACAAGAGAAAGGGAGAGACAGGAAGATCTTCCATTTGCTGCTTTACTCCCTAAACGGCCACAACAGCCAGAACTGAGCTGGTCCCAAGCCAGAAGTTGCTTCCAGGTCTTCCTATGGATGCAAGGGCACAAGTACTTGGACCACTCTCTGCTACTTACCTAGGCCATTAACAGTGAGCCAAAATTGGAATTGGAGCAGCCAGGACTTGAGCCAGTGCCCATTTGAAGTCCTGGGGTCACAGTAGAGCGTTAACATGCTACGCCATGGCACTGGCCCCAAAGTTTAATTTTTAAAGAATCATAGTATATATTTGCTTTTCCAGTGCTTTCCATTACATTATTTTATAGATTTTTATTTGATATCATTTTTCATCTGCTTGATGGACATTCTTTAACCTTTCTTATATGCCATAAGTAAAAATATTGGTGCAAATGATTGAAATCTCAGAAAACTTTTCATCAAAGATATCAGACAACGTTTTACACAATAAGAGACTATGAACTAATGTTTGCAGCAACAATGATATAATAATAGTTACAGCTGGTTTTTGAATGTGTACTTTGCTATGTTTCAGGCACTGTGCTAAACGCTTCACCAGGCATTTTCTCATTTCATCTTTTCAACATTCATCTGAAGTAGCATATGAAGTTAACAAGGATGAGATCTAAATATCAATAAGAAAAAAATCTGTAAGCACCAGTTCACAGAAGAAACAAAAAAATCCAATGAACCTAAAGATAATATTCAATCTTCCTCATAATCAAAACAATGAGATTATATTTAAACTGTTCAGCTAGAAAGAGTAAGAAGCAATGGTGCATACGTTGACAGTATATGAGACATAACTTATACATTATTGAAGGACATAACTTACACATTATTGAAAGTATAAATTGATATATTTTATAGAGAACCATTTGGATTTACTTATTTAACTTTGGCATACTCTTTGACCAGATGACGGTCATCTGTGTCAACCCTTGTACAAGTTCCCAAGAAAAATAATTTCCCTATATGTGTCTGAATATAATAGAGAAAAATTGGCAACAACCTCACAATAACTGCATTAACATAAGTGATGATTTAACTGTTATAATGGAGCTGCCATTGCAAACAGCAGGATTATGCAGAAACTCTGATGGGCTATTAGTGGGAGAAGCAAGAGTAGTCAGTGAGGGTGGAGTACCAAGGGAGAAAGGACAGATGACTTGGAAAATCCATGCAGAGATGTTAGCAACTCCCTAGCCTCAAAATTCAGGTTTTTGCCCTAGATTGGAAATGGATAGCCATTTATGGGGTGTGTGTGTGTGTGTGTGTGTGTGTGTGTGTGTGTGTGTGCCACAGTGCAATAATCAATGAGTTAAAGGATTTTTTTTTCATTTAATTTTACTGTATACAGTTGACCATTTGCTTTGATTCTAGCAAGCTCAGCACAGCTAATGCTGCACAGAACTGAAATGTTCACTTATGTTCACTAAGTGCTTCTCCTTTGTCATTCAGCAATCAGCAGGCCTTTTTGCTGGAGAATGTCCCTTGTAATAACGCAAGCTGTGAGGAAGTGCATCGAATGTTCAAAGTCTACTGGGAGCTAACGGACCTCAATCAAATCAGAGATGCCATGGTTGCCACGTTCTTTGACATTTACGAAGATGTGAGTTTGAAGCTGTCCTCTGTGTTTGCGTTTCCTATCCACTTCTTCTATTTCTACTTTCACCCTTACTTGACCATAAAAATGTAGATAACATAACAAGCAAATAGGTTCATTAAAGAAAACCCCTTTTAATATTAAATAGTACAGGTAACAAAAGTATTGGCAACACAGATGACCACTTCTGTCAAATGTGAAAATAGTTTATCAGTGAGTGTTTATTTGTATTAAACTACTGCAAAGTCATGCCTTGAGACTGCTGAATCTGCTGTTCAGCACTGTAATGATCATGTTTTAATTGGTCTACTAGTTCTTACCATTTTGTTTGTTTTTTTTCCAGGGAATTTTGGACATTGTAGTGCTAAGTAAAGGATATACAAAGAATGATTTTGCCATCCATACACTAAAAAATAACTTTGAAGCAGATGCTTATTTTGTTAAAGTCATTGGTGAGTATTTTTTGACACTTTGTTTTTCCTTTTCCTTTCTCTTCTCTCTCTTTCTCTCTCTCTTTCCTCTCAAATTGCACATTCCAAAAAGGAAGGACATGTTTCTATATAACTTATTAACAAGTCTGCAAATCAGGAAATAAACTTCAGTACACCATCCTGTCTATACATAGATCCCATTCAGATTTCATCAGCTTTTCGTGGTTTAGGATTCTATCTGCAAATATCTGTCGCATTCACTTGTCACACCTTCTTTCAAATTTCATCAATCTGGAACAGTTCCTCAGTCTTATTTCTCAGAGGCTTATCAGTTTTAAACAATGCAGGTTTTACACTCTACAAGATAACTCAGCTTCCTGACTGCCCAACTCAGAACAGGAATTCCTTTCAGAAGTTGTGCTGCAAGGAGTTGCAGAAGCAATGCTGTGTACTACTCATTGCTTCATGGCAGAAAACACCTGTCCCACCGGCTGATGTTAACACTTGCTTGCATGCTCATGTTAATGGCTACCAGGTTTCTCCACATTAAATTCAGTTGTCCCATTTGTAGCTGACTGGCATTTCATAGGAAAGTATTTTGGTGGTTATTTTAATGTCTTTCTTTATGATCAGACTTCTACCTTCTGCGCTTAGAGTCCTCAACTCCTGCTTTTAATTTGTATGACACAAATAATGCCTATTTCTATAACCCCTTTTCATTTATAAGGTAGCATTCTACTGCTCATCTTGTGTCATCTGGTATTTCAATGTTGTCTTCAATCTTTCCTGTATCTGTGCATTACCTTTCCTAACAGTGAAAAGCCTGTCTCCTATTTTCTTCATTGTGTAAAGTCTTTCTGCACTGTGCCCTCTTCCCAGCCTTATCTCCCTGCCTCTTACTACTTCATTCCTGTGATCATCATAAAGACCATGTGCGTGTTTTATAAATGTATGGCTAACTATTTTATCTTCTTTAATGAGTACACACTTTATTGGTTTCCACATATTTGCTTTTACTAAATGGTGATTGAGATGGCTATATGGATTTTTTATTAATCAACCTTAAGTCACTTAATTGGTTCTTGGATATTGTTTACAGTTTCTTTGGCATTTTCTGCATAGACAGGCATGCATCTACCAAGCAGGACTATTTTATTTCCTTTTTTCTGGTCTGTGTGTCTTCTATCTCTTATGTGTGTGCTGGCTAGAATTTCACTCGATGTGTTAAATGGGGGTAGTAGAGTAACTTAGTTGCCCTTACTCTATATTCCAATCCTTTTTTTAAAAAAAGACTTATCTATTTTTATTGGAAAGACAGATTTATAGAGAGAAGGAAAGACAGAAAAATCTTCCTTCCTCTGCCTCATTCCCCAAGTGGACACAATGGCCATAATTGAGCTGATCTGAAACCAGGAGCCAGGAGCTTCTTCAATGGGGGTGTAGGGTCCCAAGGCTTTGGGCCATCCTCTGCTGCTTTCTCAGGCCACAGGCAGGGAGCTGGAAGGGAAGTGGAGTAGCCAGGACATGATCTAGCACCCATATGATATACCAGTGCTTGCAAAGGAAGTATTTAGTTACTAAGCTATTGAGCCAGGCCAAGACCCTGTTTCCAATCTTGGGAAGAAAATCCATCATTCACCACTCAGTACAACATTAGGTGTATTCTGTATCATATTAAAGAAGTTCATCCTATTCCTAGTTTATTCAAAGTTTGTTTTAATTATAATTTAGTTTTGAAAGGTGACATTTGGTGTCTTATTATTATAGTCAATACCAAAATAGCTGTTATCAGATCTTTTGTTAATGAAATACCATACCTGCTTTGTAAAAATATTTATTGCAGTTTGGAAATAAGCACAGAATAACAGAATGATGAATGCCTGTTTCGAGAAGAAAATGACAAAATATGTAGTCTTCCTTTCTAAAAAGCAAATTTAGTCTGATTTGGATGGACTGAAATAACTCATCTCTATTGTCACTGCAGCCACATAATACTAATACATTCATTTAATCATTTCTATTACTTTTTTTATCAGCCATTTAAATATCTCTCCTTTGCCGTCTTCAACAGACATTAGTTGACTGTTTGAAAGCTAAAAATATGTATAATTGGCTATGCTATTAATTTACACAGTTTAGCATGTTTTTCCTTCTTAAAGATTATAGATAAAAAGACAAATCTGTTTAAATTTTGTTAACTCTAGTGTGTATATAATTTACATCACCTGGGTCAGTTCATTATTGGACTATTGGAGTAAGAGTTTGGTATTTGTAGGCATAAATTACTAATTCCAGCATAGTCACTAACTGATGCAAAATGTGGTTCTCAAAGAGAGATTCATCAGCAGTCATACCATCTCTACAGCAAAAAAACATTACCAAAAGATCTGTCCTTGAACTTGATCAATAGAATCAAATCACTAATGAACAATAGTATACTATTAGTCTCCAAAATCTCCTATTCTCCCTCACTTTTTCAAGCTTACTTGAGAATCACTCCAAACTGAGGTTTAACTTATTTCTACCATTTGTACATGCATCTCAGTCTGTGGCACACTGTCATGGTATTGTCACTGTCAGTTAAAAGAACTATTTCTCTCAAGGTTGTGGAGTAGTTGGGTAAAGCCACCATGTGGGATGTTGGCATTCCATATGAGTACCAGTTCAAGTCCCAAATGTTCCACTTCCATCCAGCTCCCTACTAACGCACCTGGGAGAGCAGCAGAGGGTGGCCGATCAGTTGGACCGCTTGCACCCATGCGGGAGAGCTGGCTGAAGATCCTTACTGGAGGCTTCAGCCACACACAGCCCTGGCCCTTGTGACTATTTGGGAAATAAACCAGCAAATTTAAGATTCACATTCATTTTCTAAGTCTGACTTTCAAGCAAAATAAAAAATAAGTTTTTTTTTTAAAGAACTGCTTATTTGAAGTGTGAAGTGTTTTAAAAAACCACACTTTATTTAATTATTTAGTTCGTGTGAATCAGATATGTTAATAAGTATGGATGAAAATGAATGCTTTCAGATGTTGGACATTAAGGAACAGAGATAACAAGTGAAAAGAGGCATTAATTTGTATGTATTAGGACAAATCATGTTATCTCTGCATTCAGCAAGTTCTTTAATTCAAGCTCTAAAACCATTCTTATATTCTTATGCAGAAAATTCCATTCTGTGCTCTTAGAAAATTGCAACTGAACTTTCTATCCTTATTGCGAATTCACTAGTTAATATAACATCCAACATCATGAATTTTGATGCTTGACTTTGTTAAGTTCTTTGCTACGGCAGATGCTTAGTCATATAAATAAATGACAGGGGCCAGTAAAGCATAGCCAGTAAAGCTGCCACCTGTGACCCCAGCATCCCATATAGAGACAAGTTCAAGCCTCCGCTGCTCCAATTCTGATCCAGCTCCCTACTTATGTGCGTTATGTGTTAATTGTGCCCCCAGGAGAAAGGAGAAAAAGGCAGTTAAAGGAAGAAAGAGGTTAGCAGATTTTCTCAGTTTTGTTTTGTTTCACCCGGTAAGCTCACTCGTTTGTGGTTTTGTGTGTGATGCTCTGGAGTCACTTAGGGCGCTACTGAGAAGTACCAGCAAATTACCTACTGAGAGGCAGGCGTATCACTCAACAGTTTAGCTATTAAAGCACCTGGGTTCAAGTCCCAGCCCTGGTTCTGATTCCATTTTCCCATTAATTCTTACCCTGGAAGGCAAAAGATAATGTCTCAACTTCTGTCTGCCAATTAGTCAGTATGTTGTTTTGTATGATAATATCCTTAATAGGTTTTCTCATATTTTTGATTTTTAGTTTGTAAGACATAGCAAGCTGTCATCTTCTGGCTCTCCCTAAGTATCCACAACTGACTAAATAGAACACAATCATGTGTTCCACGTGAGTGGCAGGTTCTAATTACTTGAGCTATCACCACTGTCTTCCCAGGTCTGCATCAGCAGGAAGCTATAATTAGAGCAAGAGCCAGGAATGGAAACTAGGTACTCTGATAAGGAACTAGGATCCTAACCATTATTTTACCTCCTAGGTTAAATGCCTACAGTTACCTTTTATTCTAATAATACAAATTCAGCATACTTAAACTAAAATTCAAAAATTGGGGAGGGCTGATGTGTTACCACTATACATGTCATCATATGCTGGATTACAGTCACCATGTATATATTTGCACTAAAAAGTGTATAAAATTACCTTTTCAGCATATAAGGCATAAGGTGCATGTGAAACATAAATGAATTCCATACTTAGACTTGGAGCCCATCTTCAAGCTAACTCACTGTGTATATGCAAATAACCACAGAATCTAATATCCAGAAGCACTTGTGATTTCAAGCATTTTGCGTGAGGGATATTCAACCTACATGTTATGTATTGTGTCAGGAGAAGGGGCACTTACCTTGCAGAATAACCACTTATACCCTGGTCAGCTTTGCAGATCTTATCTTACAGAGGATCTATCATCCTGGATCCAGCCCCATTCGTTCAGACCCTGTGTATTCAAACCTTCCCCTTTTCGAGCTGGTTATGCCGTACAAAAACAGCCTTATGCAAAGACCCTTTAAATCCTTATACTTCCCTCTGTGCTAGACTATAACATTAAGTAAACAAGCTCTGTTTTGGAATAATAAAATTAGAGAGTTTTATGAACAGATCATTTCACCCAACTGCGTTACTTTAAAGATCTTCCTGAAAGAATAAAGGGACGGGGAGGACGGAGTAAAATAAGTTGCCCATGACTTCGCCTTGTGTTAGTAAAGGCCAACTTGACAGAAGTTTCTTGTACTGGATGGATAGGATGCCTGAATAGTTATGGTTTCTGGCCAGGGTCAGTGTCAGGTAGTCCTCTGAGATTTACTCTAATCAGCACTCATGTCCTGCAGAGCTAAAATGGACAATCTGGTCCAAAAAGAAACTAGAGGACAGAGACGATGCAAACACAACACACATCAAAACTGATAATTCATGTCTCACCTAGTAGGGTACAGCCTAAGAAATGTGTCATGCACGTGATCTGGTTGTATACACACGTCATAGAATGCATTCCCTGAAAACAGGATTGCTATGATGTCATGAGGTGACATCATCTTATGGTACCACCCTTATCTACATGATCTGTAGGTAGCGAAAATGTCATTATATAATCTGTGACTATAGTGCTTTGTGTTTCTCAGAAGTGTATAATTTAGTTCTTTTCCTTTTTTAACAACTTGTATATGGTTTTAATAAATTATGATTGGAATAATTTTTTCTAATGATTTTGTCACATTAGTGGTCTAAAAAATAAATGAAAATAAATGTTCTTTATATATTCTGTAAATTTCAAGAAATCTCATGCTTTTCCCATTTTTTCAGAAATTTTAAAATTTCGTTATCTCAGTAATTCTGAAAGGATGAGATTAAGTCATATGTATGTGAATGGCTATTTTTTTCTCTCTCTTTTTCTTTAATAGAAAGACTGACCTGTGGCTCACAAAGAGGTTTAATGGTAACAACAAAGTTAAATATTTTTCTCTTAAGTTCTAGAACAGTATAATAACAAAAGCAGCATGATGCTGAAAGCTGCTAGTGACATAATTTCTTTCTGTGTAGAACATACACTACCAGGAGAACCCAGAAGCCATATACACTAAGTCTGTCTTCCTGTTACAGCAGGTGCCATGTAGAAGTCACTGGTAGAAGCTCAAGGTCTGTAGACTGAGAACTAGTTAGCCTTTACAATAGTGATTTGGGAGTTCTGAATTTCTGGCTGAGCTATTATCAATCAGCATGGTAATTAAACTCAAGAATTACTATTGTTTATTTTTGAAACGGTTTACAAAAGCTGACACATTGTATTTAAAATGTAGGTATCTCTTACAGCATATATAAATGACGTGTAGGACTTTTTGTACTTAATCAATAGAAGAAAGTTCTAAGATGTGGGAAATTTAACATTTTAAATCTTTTTTTAAAGATTTATTTTATTTTTTATTGGAAAGACAGATAGATGTACAGAGAGGAGGAGCAGAAACAGAGAGGAAGATATTCCATCTGATGATCCACTCCCCAGGTGGCCGCAACGGCCGATGCTATGCTGATCCAAAGCCAGGAGCCAGGAGCTTCTTCTAGGTCTCCCACACGGGTGCAGGGTACCCAGGCTTTGGGCCATCCTAGACTGCTTTCCCAGGCCACAGGCAGGGAGCTGGATGGGAAGTGGAGCTGCTGGGACCAGAACCAGCGCCCATATGGGATCCTGGAGCATTCAAGGCCAGGACCTTAACTGTTACACTATCGCGCCAGGCCCACATTTTAAATCTTGATCCCCTTCTGATAGCATGAAGCTTCAGTTTGACAGAAAGCATTCGAAAAGACAAAACTAGACACAGAAACAAATATTTTAATATACTTTATATATGCATACATATAATAAGACTGTATAATTTAGAGTAAGTATTAAATTATGCTAAACAAGACAAGATATTTTATCTTACACAGAAAGTAATCCAATGGTTCATCGATTTCCCATCTTGTGTTATAATGGAATAATGTGTTCTTTAAATGAATTAGTGTCTTATTAAAGGCAGTGGTCACATGATCTTGCAAACAAGTTCCATTCACTGTGGCCTTGACTAATATATGTGCCCAAATTTCATTTTCATCTTGTGAGAGAGAAAAAAACAGAGAGGCAGGATAGAGACATTTACACTTAATTTCACAGACTTGATATAAGGTAGAACAAATTTATGTTCAAAGCTTGGTACTTACCAGAGGATCAGTGAATATCTGCTGAAACAGTATTTTGTCATTTTTCTGGGGATTGATTTCACTTTATAAACTAAAAACTTTAAGACTGGACCCAGAATTTCTGTTTCTATCAATTTGGCCCAAGGAAACTGACAGATATGCAAAGAGCTCGATGTGATTACACCAGGTCTGTACGGGTCAACTTTCAATAGTGTTTTTAACAGAATAGAGTGGACTGGGAGATAAAGAACCTAAATGTTCAAATCAAAAAGTTTGTGTTAACCCAAAAAGCAGTGAATTATTAAAGAAGTGTTTCATATGATTTAATTTATGTAAAATTAAAAGTAAGCAATATGTGCATGTATTCATTTGTTCAGGCTACCTTTTAAAAAAATACCACAGTCTTGGTGGCAGAAGAAATTTATTTCACATGATTTTGAAGGCTAAATATTCTAAGATCAAGAAATTGGCAAGGTGGATTTCATTCTGAGGCCTTGCTTTGACTTGTAAATGGCTGCCATCCAATGTTTGTCCACATAACCTTTAATTTGTGACCTTGCATGTTGTCTTATGTCTGCTCTTAAAATGAAAAAGCGCTCATTCTGGACCTTATGATTCTTACATTAATCTTTTCTACCTCCCAATACAGCTGTGCTGGAGGTTAGGGCTTGGACACAACTGTGCAAGGGCCACAATGAGTCTATAACATTAGGTGCTGGAAGCGACTGTTTATTCTTTTTGTCATTTCACAGACAATTCTAACAAGTTTTTACCTCTAGTCATAAAAATGTTTGGGTTTTATACATACACACACACCAGCTAATCAATCAGTTCTTTATACCTGAAGAAGAGCTCAGGTCCCACAGGGTTGTGGATCAGTCCCACAGTACAAGTCCCAGGACATATCCTATATTTGTTTCTGAGTGATTATATGTCAGGGTTCCAGGATACCTTCAGAGAATTCAGAGCAACCCTTTACTTTTTTCTCATTTATTATGAGGATTATAAATGGAGATTCTTTATTATATAGGTGAATAAGGTCCAATGGGCAAGGTCAGGGTTGGCAGCCCAGAGCTTCTGTGCCTCTTACATAGTGGCATTCTTCAGGAACCTCCAAGTCAACTACCTAAGCCCTGTCATTATGACACAAAATGGCATAGTATTTGCATATAACACGTAAACATCCTTCTGCATACCTTGCATCATCGTTAGATGATTTATATCTAATGCAGTATAAATACTGTGTAAACATTTGCACTAGATTGTTTAAGAAGTAATGACCAATACAAAGTCTGTCCACACTTGGTGCAGATGCAGGATGTGTTTTGTTTGGTTTTCCAATGCATTTGATTCCCATTTAGTTGAATGCCAAGTGCAAACATGATATGGAAGGCTAATTATTTTTTCTTTGTTTATCATAATGGCTTCAAGATCAATCCATGTGTAAAATGTGATGGAATTTCTTACCTTTTGAAGACTAAATAGTAGTCCATTGTATTATTTACTATGTTTTATTTGTTCTTTCATCTGCAGTAACGTTTGGGTTCAGTCAACCTCTTGGTTAATGTAAATAATCTTGCTGTAACTGAAGATGTGTAATTTCAGTAGTTTTTCCCTCCATTTACTTGATGACTTATGATATTCATTGTCTTTGCATGAGCGTATTGGCCATGTGTATATCTTTGGAGAAATGTTTGTTCATATGCTTTTGTGCATTTTTTCAATTGAATTGGCTCATTTTGTTATTGAAATATGAGTTCTTTCATTATTGTGTCTTGGCCAAATATACGTTTTGTGTTATGAGAAAAATTCTGTGTTTATTTTCCTTCAAGGAACTAATTATCCAGTATCATTTATTGAATAATCAATCTTGTTCCTTCCTTGAGCAACTATGAAGATATATAAAAAAAATTCAAGGAAAGTGGGCTCAGAAGTTTTGGTAACAGGCATTTAGCCTGGCAATTAAGATGTGCCTGTTTTACATTGCATTACATTACAATCCCAAGCTCCAGGTTCTAACTTCCATCTTGCTTGTAAAGCAAGTAGCTGAGTCACCAACTCTCACCTACATAGGAGAGCTAGATTGCATTCTCAGCCTCCAGCTTTGGCCCCTACCAAGCCCCAGAGCTGTTACAGGCATCTAACAACTAAGCCAGCTCATAGACATATTCTGTCTCTACGTCCTCTGTGTCTCCCTGCCTTTCAAATAAGTAAGTAAAACATTAGAAGCATAAGTTCATTCTGAAGCAAAAAGTTTGAAATTCATGCAATTTTCTCACTAATTAAGTTTTTCAAAAATTCCTCTTATGCATGGATTTCAACATTATTTTATAGTTATGCTCTCTATAATGCTCTCAATACTGAGGATTATCAAAATTATTAACCAAGAAAGTTTGACTGGATAAGTGAAAAGAAGTGCAGTTTAAAATGAAATACAAGTGCTAGCCATTCTGTTTGTTACTATATTATTCCATTGATTTGTATTTGGGACCTCTGTCAGATTGTAAGTCATCCTTGCAATTTAACTAATTGGAAAATAGAGGCAACAGTGGGTATGGTATGATACAATCATAATTGAACTAACTTATGGAGTATACAAAATAGCATCATCTTGAGAGCTTAATAAATACTCCTAAAATATTGGCATAAAGTAGATAAAGAGGAATTTAATTTGCTTCAATCTAAAGAAATTGAAATGATTTGTGCTTATAATCATGGATCAGTAGAGCATATTAATGAATTTAGGGGCAAGATTAAAGTTCACTTTATATATCAGTTTGCATTATAATAGTAATAATAGCCTGTTCTGTGTTTTTCCACAGTGCTTAGTGGTCTCTGTTCCAATGACTGTCCTCGTAAGATAACAGTAAGTAAACTTAACTCTGGGTTATAAATTTTTCTGTAAAAATTTTCTACATAACAGCTTTTCACAATATAGTTGTTACAAGTTACAGGTTACTGTAGGTAAAGTACTTTTCCTAAAACACTTCACACCTTAAGCTGGCCTCTCTTATGTAGACTTTTCTGATATCCTTAGAGACATTTTCTGAATGTCTTGGCATTTTTAATACCCGTAACCTCTTGACATCAAGAATTGTGTCGTATTTGTGTGCCTATCACATTGTACCAGGTGTTTCATATATTAGTAGTCAGTGACTTCTTTGGTATAGCCTTAATATTGACTTGCTATCTAATGAAATCGCAAAATGTGAAACTAATTAGACGTGGCTTTTGAAGTAGCCAGTTCATATGAAGTTTGTAAGGAATATTAACTTAAGTTGAAAGCCAAAGTTAACAGCAGTGATCAGCTTAGGTCTTTGTTTCAATAACCTTGCTTGCTAGAAAACTGTAAATCAGAAAGTTAAATTATCCCATCACAGAATTATTAAATAGTGGAATTACAACCCAATGCTATAGTTATAGTCTCATATTGTCATATTCATATAGTCTCATCCCATGTTATAGTCTCGTATTCTTTCTATCTTCTTAAACCACTACACTAACGATATTTTGTGTTTAAATATTTTATGTATAAAACTCAGTTTTTAACATGTGTGAAAACAGATCCAGACCCAGGGATTGCTCCTGTATTCGGCCTATAAGCAGCCCCTCCAAACCTGAGGAAACAGAATTGGCAGAAATTCGTCTGGGTCGCACAAGCAGCTCTCACATGAGTCACCATTCACAAATGGCCACAATTGAGGCAAAAAGACAGAGCTGTGTGCGTCTGTCAGACCCTGTGTGCAGTCAGCTCTCGGGAAAGGGTTAGAGTTTATACAAGGCAGCCCCCTTTGAGAAAAGGTTCTAGGTAGGACCCAGCTGTTAGTCTTAGCAGCCAGCACTCGGTTCCGCCCTGTGAATTCCTGTATCAGTCCTTCAGGGACGACAGCACACCTCCAAATGCACCTCAGACACATGTTCTAGCACAGCATTATAGAGATGTGATTAACCATTAATTAAAATGAAACATTCAGATCCTACCATATCTACATTCAGTGGCTGTTTCATTACCTGGTCATACAAAGAACAAAGTTGAAATTGAACTCCCTGAACCTTATAAAAGATTTGTTGTTTGTTTGTTTGTTTGTTTGTCAGTTACAAGAAGGCAGGGAGAAACCATCTGGTCTCTGCATTAGTAGTTGAGACCCAAGTACTTCCGCCATCTTTCACTGCCTTCCCAGATGCATTGACAGAAAGGATAATCCAGTATAATCTCATCATCTTGAAATGCTTAATCACAGTTGTCATCAAATCATTCTTTACAATAAGGAGCATATATATTCAGCTGATTCTGAAAATCACCATGTTGAATGGTGAATATGGTCTTAGGAAGACCATTACGCTGCTTAACATACCACCTCCTAAAGACTTGTTAAAATCAAAGGAATTCATCTAGGCAAATCATAAGGGACTATAAACAACAAATCACTCAATGAATAAAATGACTGTTATTTGTAAATTAAATGTTTTTCCTTTGTCTCTGTTTATCTCTGGAGAAGTAAGGACAGTAAATTCCAATTAAATGCTTGAGTTCCATTTGTCTTATATAAGACTAGAACTCTAATTATCTTGCCGTTGTAGTCAGATAAATGTTTTTAAAATATTGCAAATTAATGAAGATTTCAATATTTTAGTGAAAGCTACCACATAAACAGCTGAGAATCAGAATACTTTATTCTGAGAATTCAGGATATTTTATTCATATTTCTTGATTTTTTATTATGATTTAAATATCCAAGTAATGTTTTAATTATTTTATTTTCTTTACAAATTTTTTTTGGACTTTATCAGTGGAGGTTATGGCTTGTTTCTCAGTCACTTGGTAATTCTTTTCACCAAAACTTCTAACTCTGTACCTTCCAGAGACTTCCTCAATGAATGTCTCGTTACCCTACAGAAATCTACTCTTCCCATGCTCCTTATGTCAGTAATTTTTTTCTTTACCTTGCTTCTATTATCTATTTATTATTCCTTACCCTAACTGCCAAAGTACAATAAATTTGTCTTTATTTTGGCTAAGTGTCCTTCCTGACTTTTTTTACTCCATTTTTTTCTTTATTTTTGACAATCCTTTCATAGTTAATTAGGGCAAAAAGGTCCAAGGGCTACAGGAACATGGGTAAGAGTATTATTTCCACATTTTTTCCTGTACCTGGGGTAAAGGAGAATATTAGGGGAGAAGTATCACCCAGTCTCCCACCCATCTCAGGTCCGTGATGTGGGGCATGCTCCGAGAAACTTGCTCAAGTGGTTTTGATAGTTCAACAGTTCTGAATTGCTGCCATTCTCGCCATTCCAAGCACAATAAGGCCACTGAAAAATCCACTGATTGAAATAGTCCACGTTAGAGTCTCAGTTTGCCCAGTTTTTCACTGCCAACATATGGCTGGTGTAGTTGATCAATCTTTTTTGTCCTCTGTCTTTTCATGGTTGGGGTTCTGAGTCCGGCAGTTCAGCTGGGGAGATCTCAAAAGAAACTTTGTCTGAGGTGATCCCAGACCAGACTCTTGTGTGTACATGGCAAGAACAGAGCCCGGTACAGTCCATCGTCCCAATCAGCTGGTGGTTGCATTTGCTGGGTTGGTTCTGTTTCCAGCCCTGTCTTTCACTAGAACCAATGGGTGTTGCAGTCCAGCCTGGTTCTGCCCAGCACACACTCAGCCCTCACATAAACCAGTGGGAGCTGTAGCTTAGTTGGAGTGACCCACCATAACCCGCACCAGGCTTGTGCCCTACCCTGGTTCCCATGCTTACCAGTATTACAGAAGACTAGTCCAGTCTGTCCCACATCCCATTTAGCTCTCATACATGTCTATGGGCATTGCAGCCTAGTTCAACCTAACCAGCTCCAATGTCCAGCCCACACACATGCTGTTGGGTGCCTTTCTGTCTAGCCACCCCTGTCCCTGTCCTGGTTTTCATGCTCTGCAGTGAGAGTGGTAACCCAAGAGGGAGGAGCCCACTATTTCCCTTCTAGGCCACTCCCACTCCCAGATTATGCCCTCTCTAGGTGGTTCTGGGATTCAACTTGACAGATTTAGCCTCTAATTCCAGTCTCTGCCAGCTGATGCTGCAGCAAAGCCCAACCATCCCTCACCCACTCCAATTTCTACTTGCACCAGTCAGAACAGTCAGCCCAACCTGGCTTCTCTCTGACCTAGTTCACATGAGGCCTATGGGTGTTACAGCCCTGCCTGGTCTGGTCTGTCCCCATCCCAACCCATGCTCCCCAGTGGGAGTAGCTGTCCAAGCATTCCTTTAGCAGATATGTATTAATTATAATTGGACTACGTGCCATTCCTGAAAACATTATTTCCTCTTTAATTACACCATGTGCCTTTCTCAGTTCACAACCAACAATTGTAATACGCTTTCTGTAGCAAAGATAGAAAAATATTGTCTATAGAGTGTTTTTTATATTCTTTTATTTACTTTGGTCAGAGGGAAAATCAGTTTTTACATGGAAATAATTACACTTGAAGTAAGTAATTTATCAAATTTGTTGTTAAAATAAGAAACTGTAGAAAATTTAATATTGAACTGGATTTGATAATGGTTCTAATTTTAACAAAGGTAAGAAAAGATGATAATGAACATTTATTTAAAAATGGCCAGGATAAACGAAAAACTACCTTGGAGAAAATAAAGCCCCTCTTACAAAAAAAAAAAAAATTATTTTTCTAGCATTTTAGGATCTGAATTTATATCACATAATTAAACCTAGTATTGATTATTTCAAATACAATAATATGTTTCTGTGTTCTTCCACTTTTGTATTACCAGTCAGTGCCAATGATTTAGAATGTAGGTGGACTCCACTGTAGGAACCCAGACCTAGAAACAAATCAGTAATCATGTACTTGGCATTGACACAGAAACCATCAAGTTTTAGCCAGGCTACTGAAAAAGATAGTCTGTGAAGAAAATGGATATTCCTGACCCAAGTTTATATCAGCAGATAGGCATACGGATAGAAAGAAAGATCTGTGTAATACAACAGATTGCATTACATCAATATAACACATCCTGGAATTAGATATGGGAGCCAGTAATAGTCCTTTTTCCTTCTATTAGGAAAAAATGGAGAAATTAATATTTTTTAATTTAACTTCTCTGAATAAAAAAAAAATCAGACATTCCTGATTTTCATTTTATTTGAAATGCAGAAAGGGCCCAGTGCAGTGGCTCAATGGCTAAATCCTCACCTTGCAATTACTGTGATCCCACATGGACACGAGTTCATGTCCCAACTGCTCCACTTCGCATCCAGCTTGCTGCTTATGAGCTGGCAAAGCAGTAGAGCACAACCCACAACCTTGGGACCCTGCACCCCACATAGGAAGCCTGGCATCATATTGGTTCAATTTCAGCCATTGAGGCAATCTGGGGATCACTCCCAGTAGATGGAAATACTTCTCTGTCTCTCCTTCTCTTCATAAACCTGATCTGCTTTTCCAGTAAAAGCAATCTTAAAACAAGAAAAAGCAATACAAAGAGACAGCATCCATTTACTGATACACTCTGCAATGCCCGCAGCATCTAGGCCAATGCCAAGGTTTAGGAACGCCATGCTGGTTTGCCATGTGGGTGGCAGGAACTTACATATCTTGTCTGCCACTTCTTAAGGATGCACATTAAGAGTAAGATGGCCCGCCATGGTAGCCTATCAGCTAAAATCCTTACCTTGAATGCACCAGGATCCCATAAGGATGCCGGTTCTAATCCCAGTGGACCCACTTCCTATCCAGCTCCCTGCTTGTGGCCTGGGAAAGCAGTTAAGGATGGCCCAGAGCCTTGGGACCCTGTACCCACGTGGGAAACCCAGAAGAGGCTCTGGGCTCCAGGCTTCATATTGGCACAGTTCCC